CAACCTGGCTTTTCAAGGGAAATTTCTGGTTAAACGTTGAACCAAGCACAAAATGACACATTAAGGTGTAAAAAAATGTAAATGCAACTCCAATGTACAGCAATAATATATATATATATATGTATGTATGTATGTTTACTGTAGCCGATAGCAAAGGAAAAGGGAGGTGCACAACTACATGTTATAACAATTCCATATATACAAAATTCCAACATTCTGCGGCTAGTCGTTTTTTAAGTTATGCAAGGTACATACATACGTACTTCCCTTTATTATGTCCGAACACACAGATATCACGCAAAAAAAAAACCCATTGAAATGGATTCGTAAGTGGTCAAAATGGATATTGTTGTTGAAATATGATACCCGCCGCCCAGACGGTATAGTGGTTAGGCGTATCGAAGGGCCCGTGGTTGAGTCCTGGAGAAGGCATGGATGTAAATTGTCCGTCCCCTCATAGGAGGTAACGGTGGCCGCCTATTAGGTGCCTTCACAATAAAATGATCACCACTTCCGGCCTTAGGAGTGGGCAATGCTGAAAAAAAGACAAGTATAAAATATGATACACGAAATCTTTTGCGATTATAATAGTTCGTTACTTCACACACGGAATTAAAAATGGCGATATTTTTTTTTCATTTATTCAATTCATCTACTTTTAAAATTTTCCTTTGCATATATAATTTTACTTTGTGTATTTTTCAAGATGGAGGAACAGTTTTGTATTAAATGTATTGCCATATTTCGCTTTAGATACTTTCATACTTAGTTCATACATGAAGTTTTATTTTTGATTTGGATGATTTTTTATAGCAACTAGAATGAAATTTTACACGAAATTATGAATCTAATCTCTACAATGTAAACGAATAATTGGGATGTAATTTATACTCAGATTTCGATTTTTGTGGTTTCTTCATTAAGAATTTAAAAAGATGACAGAATTAAATCGAAATTTCTCCTTATAATAAATAACAATACATCAATGTGCCATTCAACCAAATTATATTAAACTACCTTAAGATATAAATAGGCTACATTAGTCCTTGCGCAAACGTTGAAGAATAAATAATTTGAATAATTTTAGAAATTTTCCCATTTGGAAGTGTAATCACGTAGAATATAAATCTTTGGAAATGTAGGAGATTATATTATTGTTTTCAAAAGGTAGAGCGTTTCAAAAATTCGAATAAATATTAAAGTTTTAGAATTCTAAAAGGAGCACTCTTTAATTTGGTACAATGCCTGCTCTTTAAGACCATGATTTTCCATCCGGCATCCAGTGCATCGCTGAAACGTTTCATCTAATTAATTTTGAATTTTGGGAAATAACTCTACATAAAATTGTCTACAAATTAATGCACAATTATTTTAATATTTTCAAAGCTGAATAATTTTTACACTTAAATGATTAAAATCTAATATTTTGCTTTGAAGTATAAAAGATATTTTCCCCGTCCTTACGTATTGCCTCCCTCCTTTCCGCATGCGGTGGTGTAACTGGAAGAACGTTCGAGGCGCATTCGAGGGGTTCGGAGCTCGAATCCTGGCAATGCACATTTTTCACATTCCTGTCATGAAAAATTCTTAGAAAAAATGTGGTATGTACAAGTAGAGTTCGAACTAAAGGGCAGTGGACGATAATTCGTCACCACCAGCATCAGGCTACTAGATGCCCTAATCTCCGTCGCCATTTAAAAGGGAGAGTTTGGTTTGTTTTGATGTATATAATTATTGTAAAGCCTCTAGGACTATCTGCCTAAGGGAAGAGATGCATTCGGGGAGGACTTTGTAAGCAAAACAGAAATGTATACAATTTACACAAGGGGAAAACCACGAAAACTCCCATGCAGACAGCACGTTTGAGGGATTTGAACATCGGACTGAACTACCAGTGTTCAGCAACTTTACCGCTCGGCCGCTGGTTAGCTGTTCAAAACGGAGAGCATACACTGACTACCAATAAGTATTTGGACACCTGTGATAGAAAAGAAAAACTAACTTTATTCAAACTCAATAGTTGGTAGAGCCTCCACGAGAGGTAATTACAGCGCGGACCCTCCGGGGCATACTTTTCACAAGTCTTGTATGATAGCTAGTGGTATTTTCTTCCACTCGGCTTGGAGAAGACATAGAAGTTCCTTCACCGATTTTGCACGGGTAGTGCCCCTGAATTCGGTGATACAACTCGTCCCAGAAGTTCTCGATAGGGTTCGGGCTGGACTCTGGGCAGGCCAGTCCATTCGATGAACTCCATTGGCACCATACCAAGCCTTGGTAACGTCGAAACATGACAACTGGCATTGTCGTCCTGAAAGTAACAGGGGTCCAACCCGTAAAAACTGCCACAACGTAGAAGGAAGCACATGTCATCCAAATAGTGCAGTAGGAATCGGAGTTGAGCTTACCATGAATGGGGACCAACGGTCCCATCCATACCAGGAGAAACACCCCCAGACCATAATTCCACCTCCGCCGAACTTGACTGTTGGCACAATGCATTCTGGCAGGAGACGTTCTCCAGGTAGACGCCAGACCCAGACCCTGCCATCCGAAGGTAAAGGGGGAACCTTGATTCGTCACTCCAAACAACCCGTTTTCACTGATCTACGGTCCAATTTCGATGTGCTTTGCACCACATTAACCGAGCAGCGCGGTTGGACTTTGTGATCAAAGGCTTATGGGCAGCAGCACACGACCATGAAAACCAAGCAGGTGTGCTTCCTTACGGATAGTATTCATTGAAACAATACTCACGGGATGCCTGTTGAAACTCCTCGCGGATGAGGGCCATCGGTTGGGTGCGGTTCTTCCGAATTTCTCTGGACAGCACTCGTCGGTCTCTATCTCCCAGTTTCGTTGGTCTGCCGACTCGGGGCACATTCCGACAATCCCGCTCACCTTCCACTTCTTAATCACATAGGCCACTATCAATTTTGGGTACTTTCAGATCGCTAGATATGTACTTAAGGATCGGCCACATTTTTTATACTTGATAATATACTTTTCTCGAAATCAGAGAGCTCCGACCGAAATGCGAGGCATCTTGCATGCGACTAAAGCCAATGCTGTTTCCTACACGATATATGCCGGCGGAGTCCGTGACGTCGTACCTTAGGACCGCAGATATTGTCATTTGCATAGGTGTCCAAATACTTATTGGTAGTCAGTGTATAAGGTGAGCATATGGAGAGGGCACTGCTGATTTCTTCCTTTTCCTGACATCAATAAACCTAATGACTCGACAAGTATATTAATTTTATTTAAAATTAAAAAAGAAGAATTCCTTAATTTTGATGTTACATTTTTCTCCTGTATTGGCATTTAATGCAGCGCTGTTTGCATTCAAAGATGAAATTTCAGTTAGGCTGGAATTTCAAAGACATTGAAGGTTCTTAAATAGTAGACTCGATAATGTTTGCAATAAAATCGAAAATTATATATTTGCAGATATGTGCGAAGAATTCAGTTTTTAATTGTAAAGTGATGTATCCCTTAATATGTATTTATAAAAGCGGTAGGAACTGTTGCTGTCCTATAATTTAATATACTAACTTATTTATAAAAGCATTTTTCTCACCACATTTACTTACAGCTTTTCTATATTTTTTATTTCAGGCATCCTCAAGTCCTTCAAATGTCCGATGCAGCATAAAATAGGAACTGTTTGACTGACTCATTTCAAGGAATCAGTTCCTTCTTGCTTTTGTACATTCGTCAAAAAAGTATGAAAGTATTTTAAGATAGCATAATATAAGCTGGTCTGCCTTGATGTTGTAAATTTGTGAAATGCGTACTTATTCGTTCTATGTCAGATAGTATAAACATTTGGAAATCTGTGACTATGTATTTGATATAATGTTTTTAACTTGAATCAGTTTATTTCACTCATTTTACATCAAATCTTCAAGCTGTAGTTTCTATTATGAATGATTAAACCATATACTTAGTAAAAATCGTGACAAATTATGAATTTCACAGAAACTCCTGATCCAGAGCGATTTGTTCACTTATCTTTTGGAAACTGGACTAACGAATCAAATACAGTTAACGAGTTCGACAATGATTCTAATGCGTCTGATGATTACGTTACAAGAAGTAATCTCCATTCTTCATCCGTTTTAATACCACAAGATGTACCTCTTTCAACAGTGGTGCTGCTTGCAGTACTACTCGGTCTTTTGATTCTCTCAACTGCTGTGGGCAATTTATTTGTTCTTGTGGCAATAGTTCGAGAACGACACCTTCAGACCGTTGGCAACTACTTGGTGCTTTCGTTGGCAGTTGCTGATATGATGGTGGCTTGTCTAGTCATGCCGATGGGAGCACAATATGAAATTACAAACCATGAATGGCTCTTGGGACCGGAACTTTGCGAAGTTTGGACATCTGGAGATGTGCTATGTTGCACGGCTTCCATTCTGCACCTAGTCGCCATTGCCCTGGATCGCTACTGGGCAGTAACTAATGTCCAGTATGCCAGAGAGGGCAGAAGAAAAAGAATAGCTATCATGATAGCAATTGTTTGGAGCGCCGGATTCTTAGTTTCCATTGCACCTATACTTGGATGGAAAGATGAAAACTTCTTGCAGCGGATACAAGAAGAAAGACAGTAAGTAACTGCATCATTGAATTTTATAAAGTAAATATGCGTCACATAATCAATAGTATATTTAATATAATAATAAAAGATATATTATATTGACGTCTGTGGTAAAGTTCTAAGTTTAATTTGCAACAGTCCCTTTAATTTGCTTCTTTCTGTTCAAAAAATTAAAGGCATATGTATGATGAATATATCTCAATAGGTTCACGTCAAAATTAATCCATGTCTTATGGTAAACTTATAATATCTTACCTTTTCAGGTACCATACAATTAGATCAGAACTCTGGTGAGTTTTCACTGTATCTTGCAAATATCATAAAGACAGGAAGAAAGTGTAAAGGTTCCTTCATTAAATCCAAATAAAAGTTCAGAGACGGCATCAAGTCGTGCGTACAGAAGCCGGTAGCTTTGGTTTAAGATCAAAGATAATGAATGATCTAAAACTATGACAAGTCTAACGGCTTCATCAGTTTAAGTATAGTCTAACGGCTTCACAGTATAACTATCTCACAAGCTGGCTCTGACCAAAGTCAGCGTAAACAAGCCTAACGGCGAGAATAACTCAACGTCGCAGTATACTCATCGCTACAGAATCAAAGTTAGCAACGTGGTCTTAAAGCAGGCAGAACACGCTCTGATTTCAGCTTCCGAAACCTACTTTTAAATACTTCCTTCTTTTTTACCTAATTTGAATTTCGGAAATTTACATTTTAAAGGGAAATAAAAACGAGGTCGGCAGAAAAGTAAATTAGCATAAAATAACTGATTAGAAACTTAAATGATACTTTATAAACTATCATGGCTAATATGCTGACATAACATAAAAAGATTTCCAACCATTTGTTATAATCTAAACTCTCTTCCCACTCTTGATTCACGCTTACAACGCGTCCTTCTCCATCGTCTCATCTTTTATCTTACCAACTGTAACTATGTGTAATATAACTTGCACATAATTGTGGTAGAACTGGAATGCCCATCTTTGCGTTCTGTATTACTTAATAGAATTCGATCTTACTGGGTTATTTATATTACGGCAAAGAATACAAACTTAAGGGAAGAGAGGTATTCATGGAGAACGTTTTAAAAGAAACTGGTTCTTGTTCGTTACATATGAAAAAAAAAAAAAAAAAAAAAAAAACACGAAACTTTCCATGCAAACAACCCATTCTCCAAGATTTAAACTCGGGCTGACAGCGTTTAATAGTTTTATGGTAGATAGATACACGTGCATGAATCACATAAAACTTCATTGTTTTATTCAGCAAACTATGTTAAATATAACATAATACATGAATATCTACGACTTGTTGTTAATCAAATAAATAATCACCAGTACAACCATAAGCATCATATAACTAAAGACAGATGCTTGAGGTCGTGTATTTATTTATTTATTTATTTTGATGCCAGTTTGAATTTAAGGACATTGAAATGGCTAATTTTAGTATTATTTTTAATACCATATACTATAACTTAGTTTTTTGTAATTTTTTATTTTTGGTAAATTATACAGTTTTATCTCTGACATTCCAAGTTGCTACTATTTAAAACTAAATCATTTTCATTCCGTGTTTCAAAATTGCTGTAAATTATTATTTGCTTTATATATCATGCATATATTTTCATTCAATTAGTTTTGTAATTTATATCTCGATGATTGCTTTTTTAAAATTTTCTTACAAACTTTTCTTAAGATTTTTTATACTGTATGCTTTTATGCATGAACAATTTATTATCGAATCACTTTTACTTTAAATTTAAATAAGAAATTCATTCATTCGAATATTTTCTTTTGTAATTCCTTCTGATATAATGCAGAAACGTGGTTCTTCTGTAAATAGTTTACATTTGAAAGGCAGCTCCCATAGACAAAGACAAAAAAATAATTAACTTTTATTTAATATTTATTGTTTTGTTTTCGCATTAATTCATTTTTATTTCAATTTTGCTTTCTTCTGCAGTTCATTTTAATCTAATCCCGAAACGTGGTTCTTCTGTTAATATCTTACATTTGAACAGCTGCTCGTAGACAAAGACATTATTAACTGCTATTACATATTTATTGTTTTGTATTTATCTACTTTTATTACAGTTTTGCCTCACAATTTTTCTGTTCTTTCTATTTAGGTAGTCTTGGTTGATATTAAGTCTAAATAACTTATCAATTTCCTTCAAACCTCTCTCCCCCCACACAAAATACAGGATGTCCATAATTAAACTTGAAATTTGCAAGCTGTCTGTAGCAAAAACTATACAGAGGAATTGCATGAAAATTGGGTAATAGCAAAATGAGATGATCGGAATTTTATTGAGGGGAAAAAACAATGAGTTTCAAACACCACCCCCAGGTGACGTATCATAGCTTTATAGAGAGCATATAAATAAGCTACAAAAGTTTGCAAAACATGCTCGATGTGATGTCCACCATTGTCTGCCACCGTCTGGAAGCGTAAAATCGCATGTTCGACTGTTGAAAGCAGCCCGAACTGGGGAATGTTATGCACATGGCGTTCTATGCGTTAAGGTTATAAGGTATTTCTCCCATTTCCCTAGCGTGCCTTCGTGGTGTAGTGGTTCTGCACGCTGGGCCGGTATTCGAGAGGTCCGTGGTTCTATTCCTGGCGAAGGCGTTTGCTATTTTTCATCTTTTCTTCCAATTAACAATTAACCTAATGACTGCTTCCAATTAACCTAATGATTCTACAAGTGGCGCCCGAACTAAAAGGGTTGTGGATGATGATTCTCCGCCCCCAGGATTTGGCGATTAGGTCCCCTAAAACGCTAGTCGCCCTTTAAAAAGGGGAGTATATAAGGTATTTCTCCCACTTCCCTAGCATGCCTTCGTGGTGTAACGGTAGCACGCCGGGCCGGTATTCCAGAGGTCCGTGGTTCGATTACCGACGAGGGCGGTTGTATATTTTTCATCTCTTCGGCTTCCAATTAAACTAATGACTCTACAAGGTCAGATAGAGATGTAATGGGTTCACGGTAGACCATGGCCTTGAGGTGTCCCCAAAGTCGCAAGGATTCAAGTCGGGAGATCTAGGTGTGTGTGTGATTATGGCAAAGCCTCGAGAAAATTTTGCCTAAGGGGAGGGATCCTTCGTGCCTAAGGGAAGGGATGCCTTCGTGGAGGAATTTCTAAGGGAAAATGACTCGTATACACGTTACACATGGGGAAAACCACGAAAACGTCTATGCAGCCAGCCCATTCGCGGGATTCGAAACTCGGACCAAACTATCAGTGTTCAGCGACTTTACCACTCGGCCGCTGGTGGGTCCCGGGAGATCTAGGAGGCGAAGCTGTAGGAAATTTCAGGCTGATGATTCTGTCTTCACCGAAATTACGGAGGAGCATTTGTTTCACACAACGGACGATGTGTGGAGGAATACTTTCCTGCATAAACACTGTGGTTGTACCATATCGCCTTGGCTGAACATTCGGAATAACGGATTGCTCTAATACTGAAGCGTATCGTTGACCGGTGAGGGTGCATGTCACAGGCCCTGCGATGCTGTGCTCTTCGAAAAAAAAACGGACCTCCAATGAAGGTTGCAGTAAAGCTGCACGAAACCGTTACATGCGAAGAGTGTAATGGAATTTGTAGGATTTGATGTGGGTTTGTTGCAACCCAAATACGGCAATTGTACGTATTAACTGTATCTTCCATATGAAAGTGGGCCTCATCGGTCCACAAAACGTTCCATGGCCATTCATCCTGGAGCTCAACTTGCTCAAGAAACCGTAACGCAAAAGTTTGTCGACTATCCAGATTAGCTGGTAAGAGCTGCTGGACTAGCGACAGTTTATAGGGATAGTAGCGTAAGATCATTTGAAGAATGTTATGAACCGTGGAATGAGGTTGGTCAACAGATGCTGCAATACGCCGAACACTAGAGCTGCCAATGGTTTGCGATCTGTCTTCTTCCACTTGCGTCACTACATCATCCAGTACTTCTGCTGCAAGACATTTTCTTCCGCTTCCTGGCTGAATCCCGAATGTTCCCGTTGCTTCAAATTTCCTAATCATGTTTGTTAGTCCTTGACTAGTTGAGTGAACTTTTCGTAACCGCTTCAAAGACCCTAATTTCCGCAAAGCCTCGGTAGCAGAGTCTCCGTTTTGGGAAAACAATTTCACCAGTAAAGCAAGTTCCTGGAGAGTCAACGTCATCTTCCTTGACTTGGAAACGAGTATGACTGAGGTTTATCTTCGCATCTTTATAGGGTTGGTGTGTGCACACAGGATTACTATGGTGACGACATATGCCAATAGTTTGCACTGCGCAACGGCATCTAGTGGTGGTTTTTGAAACTCATTGTTCTTTTACGTCGGATAAAATTCCCATCATTTCCTTTTGCCATTACTTAATTTTCATGCAACTCTGCTGCATAGTTTTGGCTACAGACTGCTTGTAAATTTCAAGTTTAATTATGGACACCCTGTATTTTAACAAAAGAAAATAAAATGGGGGGGGACGGGCACTAACCATTTTTAGGCTCTCGCCAAAGGCCAGAAGCGGTGGTCATCTTATTATGAAGGCACATAATTTTGTTATGGAGGCACATAATAGGCGGTCCCTGTTACCTCTTATGAAGGACAGACAATTTACATCCATGCTTTCTTTGGGATTCAAGCCCAGGCCCTTTGGTATCACAGTAGGTACCCTTAACCACTATATCGTCTGGGCGGATATCACATGTAAAACAACGGCAGTTTTATTAAATCTTGTCCTTTTTTATGATTCGTGTGAAGGGATCCACACCAGTGGTCGAATGTCTAATAACAGAAGCATTGGATAGTTATTCCGGGTTTTACTCGTCGACGGTTGATCTGGCGGTTACGTGGCCAGAGCGGACAGTGGTTACAGCGGACACTGCGAAACTCATCGTGGTCAGAGCGGACACATTTTTCCCCCATCATGGAACAGATAAAGGGTGCAGATAAATACGTAAAAATATACTTTAAAAAATCACAAATATAGTTTAAAACAGCATTTTAAGTGGC